GCCTTGCACAATGTCACTCTGCCACAAAATATCTCTGATCTGGCTGAAGCTCTCATCTTTGTGTCTTGGAAGTGGGAAGAATCGTTCTGTTCACCTGCACATCACCCAAGGAATCACAGGGTTTGGACCAGTGTTTCTAGCTGGTGGGGGGATGCTTTGATATCATCGTCTGGTACGAAGAGGTGCGCAGGTTTACGTCCGTATAAGTGGTGCAGGTGCGAGTAGACGACCGCTGAAACGGTGCTCTTCAACCCAAGAACGTCCTCAATGCTTCCTCTAATTCCGTTTAAATAGGATTCGGAAGTTGGAGCTTTCAACGTGGGATTTGTGATTGGTATGAACTGCCACACTGTGGTGGCTTTGTCGGGGTGCAACTTGCTTCTGATGAACCATGCCCGGGTTAATCGTCATCTGAACTAAGGTGCCTTGAAAGTCGGTTTTCGCACTGTTACGTATACTGGGCCGCGAAAAGTATACGCGGCCACTCCAAGGAGCTCAGAATGTTTCAGCTGCGCTACTTAGCCCCAAGACTCTGTGAATGGAACAAATGCTCTCCTTATATTCCTGCCGATACGGGATCAGGAGTGGAAGCTACTACCAACATTCTGAGTATAAAGCGGTCATAGTCGGGGTACGTCTGTGGTATAAAAAACTGTACTGTGCAAGATGACTGGGAGCCAAATTAGGGAACTGAGTACGACAAAGTTGCTCCGAAGCGATTCTTTGACCGATTGTTCTTTCAAGTTTTTCGGCTGAATGAGAGGCATATAATGAGACTTTTAAGCAAAGGGATACGTCAGAAGCTTCTTAAGCTGAACATGTTTGTTCTAGCCAACATCATCACAAGCAGAGATGAACAACCAGCGGTTCGAAATACAGAAGTTAAGTAATAAAACCTAGTAAAGCCAGGTCGAAGCTCGATGTGCCAGCTTTGCAGTAATCTTTAACATTACTTGCTCTTGTCTGGATCTCAACAGAACTCAATGCACGGGAACTGTCCCTCCACTATGAACCTAGTTTCAAAAGCTATGTAGTGATTGTGGGCTGGCACCCGTCCAACTATACATCTGTGGTACCCTGAAGAAGATGTATGGTACATGCACAACTTTCCAACAATACCCCCCTGACAGCATAATCATAATGTGATCTGACGGAGAAATTCGAAAAAGAAAGCTACAGATTCCTCCACTGTGCAGACCAGGACGTTATGATGAACACAGAATGAGTGAGTTTCCATAACGACGAACTTTTGGCAACAGTAGATCCTTTCGAAATTTTCTCTTCAATGGGAATATTTGACTCTTACAATCTGTTTAGCTCGCTGTACTTTGCAAGTCCACTTTTTAACTAAACTGGTTCAAGGAGCTGCATCTAAGAGCAGCTCAAGAAACGTAGCAATTTTTCCAGCCGCTTACAATCATGTACTCTCGCTGGAAGTTCTCATGAGCGTATGCCCTAAGATGAAAGATAATTGGAAGTAAACCTCAGGCTGGGAAAAAAGCGAAAATTTCCTGTTTCTCTCCTGTACAATTAAAATTCTGTTACATCCTTCAGTTGGCTAAGTGACATATCTCTTGCGGTGGTTCGGAGCTGGTTCTTCGTTGATGAAGAAAGACTTGCACAGGACTGGCTCGAAACTAAGCTATCCACTAAGTTTTTATTGAGATACTCTTCTCCTCTGCGTTGACAATGACTTTGGCTTATTGATTGCATGGCAACCCCGCATGTGTACCTGCAATGACTCCAGCTTAAAGGTCCTCCCACATTGCCTGCATTAATCAACAGAAAGCAACCCCCCCTAACGTCTTAAACTCCGGTAAAATTTTGGAAAGAATCCACCTAGAATTGGACTTTAAATTAAGTACGCTTTTCTTGTGTCATACATGAATTCGTCAGAGCTTGGCTCCAGGATGACAATTGTCATCTTAAAGCCTGTGGAGTATGCGCAGTGCTTAGTAATGCAACTCTTGGTCTACGTAATCGATCCGTTTATTTATTGATACTGATGTCCAATCCAGAATTCACCCTAGACACGAACTCAGTGTAGAAAAAGTTATCATTTATGCCTCAAAACTTGGCTGCAAGAAGGATGAAGAGTCAATAGTTCTGCTATTAAAACGAAATACACAGCAGCAATTGCACTTCTTGTCAGGGCGCTTCAGATAGAATGTTGAACATGGATGCTTCTAGCTTTTCATAATTGAACATATCGACGTTAGATGACTTACAGGGCACAAGTAGGACCTTCCAAATACTGAATATGGGTTTCAATTCATCAGGAATCGCGCTTACTTACAAGCATTCATGCAAGACCATGTCCACAGGAGGTTCGCTTTTCATCACTGCCTCCTGGAGCGACTTCTCCCAATCCATTTGCGTTAGGCCTGGAGTCAGTAGTCTGCCACGAAGGGCCACCCCACATCGTTAGATTACACCTTTTTAAATACAAACTCTTATGACAAGGAGGGAGAGCTACAGGAGTTGGGATCGAAAGAAGAACTGCTATAATACTATGTTCAGTACAAATACGTAATTGAATCGTCTCGACAAACCTGTCTTCTCTACTTTTGAAGTCCTTTGGCCTGGAGGGATGCTCGAAGGGCCAACCCTTTGATCCTTCGTTTAAACTCGATTTTAAAGAAGCTTTATCAGCAGCTTCAGTTGCTCTCTGAGTCGTCCTCTTCAAGCCTTGATTGTTACCACTACCGGCATGTGAGGTACGGGAATCGAAAGTAGAGCTGTCTGAAACTCGAGATATGGTAGATTCTTCTACTGTATGAAATTGTTCGTCATGACGCTTGGGAGAAGACTCCTTGCTCAAATTTCTGGAAATTTCAATTATCTTCTCATCAGAGGTCTTCAAGGTAGCGTCAGGCGTACGATTGAACATTTCCGGAAAATAAAGAAGACGCAAGTATTTTACTGTACCAAACTTGCTTGAAGAGAAACAAGATCCAGCAGAACTTGTAGAGTGAAATTGAACAAAGGCATGAACTGCACATTAACTGTAAAACATGCATACTCAAGGTCATGCCTAAGTCTTCATTAAAATGTTAGAAAAGCTGCTAAAATTTTGGTTTAGAAATTTTCTCAGTCATATACGGAGATGTTATTGGTGATCAAAGAGCTACGTAGCCCATACCTGGAAATCGACGTTTCTGAACACTTTTTAGCATTAGGTCTTCTCTGCTTCGAGGTCACGCTGTTGGGGGGCTCTTCTTGGGTTTTACCAGTAGTTCGGCCGTGCGTGTTGTGCATAGATCCTGGACTGGGAGTGTCAGGTTCAACCCTTGATTTGGGAGCCTGCCGGGATGGAGGCGTACTCGCCGTAGGGCTTTTTGAGTCCAATTTAGCCTCCTGCTTGTCTCCTTTCGATCCGGACATGACCTTGTGTTCGTCTCTGCGGGGTACCGGCCGTGTCACTGGCTCTGGAACTTCTGAAACTTGAGGAATAGTGCGCATTCTGCAAACTCCTCGAGCCGGAAGTTTCGCGAGAGCTTCCATAGTTTCTCTATACGAGAGATCAAGAGCGTTGTTACCAAATGATCGGAGCTCTGGTAGGAGAGGATCAATTTCTGGTAGGTCTGTGACAAGAGCAGCAGTTCCAAGCGGTTGAGGTGCTGCTTGAACGAAGCTCAACTGCTGCTTAGATGAGTCTTCTGCAGAAGGTGCTTCACTCATGAGCTTGGGAACGGGTGAAGGTCTCTCTCCAGACTCAAAGTACTGCAAGAGTGTCATGTACTCCATTGTAGGCTGATCTGAAGAGGTGTGGGTGTTCTGTTTCTCTGAAGCTTCTGGACAAGAATTGATGCTCTTTGGAGACTCGTCAACCAAAAATCCTGTATTCTTCCCTGGACTCTTGGAGACTTTATTGCTTTCATCTCTTGCTTTGCTTCTGAAGGGCATCTTCGTTCTCGCTCGAGTTGAATCAACGACATCGATGCCTCTGCACATCCGCGGCCTAAAACTTCCCAACCGGGTTGCCTTTCGCAATACGCCGTATAAAAATGGATCCTCAGGAGCAGATAAGCACGGCGAACTAGTTTCTGTTATAATATCATGCACTTCCATTCGAGGGATGCGCTGCTCGTCGTCAGAACTTTTGCTATGAATAAGTTCTGTATAGATAGTGCTTTTGTCAATCTCCTTCTCCCACATCCTTCTCTTGGGAACTGAACTCACGGCAGGTGAAGGAGAGAATACTGACATGTTATCTTTCATGATGGGTGTAGCTGTCGAACTATCTATCAACTCCTTACGATCCGTTGCAGCATCCTTGTGCAGCGAGGACTCCCTAAAAGGAGTCTGTGAGCCCGCGTTGCACTGCTTGGCCACCGAAGACTTTTCTATCATAGATGCTACGCTTTTAGTTCCATTCCTTGGAAGATGATCTTTATCTTCGCCAACATTGCCAGATATAGAAGATGTATCTTTGTCATAGACATCACCCTGAAGCAACAACTCTCTTCGCACAGTTCGTGAGCTTAAATTGCATTCCTTTGCAGCTGCACCCCTTTCTGTTCTGGCTACATCATTCTGCTGTCTTTGCCTCTCAACATACTTCTCGTTCTCAACGCCGTCTTCACATGAAGGGTGCATCCTATTGCTGGAGGCGTCGCTGTAATCTAAGCTACAAACTTCAGTCGCTCTTTTGCTGTGGGCAAGATTCTTCTTAGTCTGGTTGTTCAAGTTCTTACTGTTGTCAGAAGTCGCGTCATCAGCATCACTGATGGGCATTAAGCTTTTCTTCATTGCCACGGGAAAATTGCTTTCCACGTGTAGATACTCCTCTTTCGTAGAAGGCTTCGATGGCTTCATTGGGCTAATGTCTCTAGAGCTTCGAATAGGCATGGATTCTTTAGCCAATTGAGGTTCTTCGCACTCGATATTATCATCGTCTAAGACATTGCAGAGGAGAGACACAAGGAATAAGTTGCACCAAATTTGTTTTACGATATAAACTAACTAGGACTGGGAAGACATGCCGGTACGAAATAATTTTACGCTCAGGTTGGCTGCAATAAACCAGCAAAACTGTATCCTTGACGCACCTTGCAATGCATCGAAGAGTTCCATTGCTTTCAGGACATACTCTCCGGTTCCACTAAGAGGAAGAATGAAATCATCGTCGAACAAGTCGCACCAGATGAAGGTATCCTTATAACTCCTGTTTTACCAAGAATGAACTCTTAGTTTTAGGGGATTACAAAAAAATACATTAGCTCAAGCAAGCAATATTTTGATAATTCAAAATCCCATTCACGAACAGGAAGTGCAACAGCCATTGTCAAGGCGCTGCGGCATCAGTAACTGAAAGACGAAATCGAAGACGATGAGTACCTTTTGTACGACCAAGAAAATGAATCTGGCATTCCTTTACCTCGTAGTGCGATTAATCGAGCCTTCACATCTGAAATGCCACAGAGTCTTAATGTTGGAGCACCCTTCCAAACATAAATACGTGAATTGTGAAAAAAATAAACTATAACCAAATGCTGAAAGAATCGCTGTAACAAGATACGTAATGGATTGCGACATCAATGGGCCCTAGCAGAAGTACCTTTTAAGGTGGGACCTGGTTGATGAGACGCATACTGTACATTGATCATATGGGGATGCTCTAAGTGCGCGCCACGACTAAGCAGATAAAGGACTTCCGCTGTACAAGTTGGAGATTGTCGTGAGGTCTCCATGCTGCCCGAACGTCTCCCGGTCCTCGGACTAGGCATTCTCAGCTGCGATGTTCTTCCTTAGCCGCCTTGAGACATTGGCATCGCAATCTTAATAATGGATGCTAAACCCTGATTAATGGAGGAACAATCAATTATGCACAGGAATATGGAAACACGATTTCGGAGACCACTTTTCGAGGGATTTACGACCCTACGAAGCAATTGGAAAAACTAAATCATGCTGCCTCACGGTATTGACTTGAAAAAACTGGTTTACAAGTGTAGGGGATAAAATAACTTTCTGCAGAAACCCCGGACAGAGCTAGATTTTTATTGAGAGTGTTGATGCTTATTGACATTGGTCCTCGTAGCCCGTTGCTTGAGGACCAACCCACACGGCAGAAACAGGCAGAGCATTGATGCCTCTGTGGTGCCTAGAGAATGGTCGGAAAATGGAGGAAGACGTCAATACATTGCCTCTTCCACCCGTCTGAGTTGACCTTCAAGCAAATGGCTACGAAGGCCAGCGCCAAGGTGTTGAAAAGAAGATAAGAATCGATGGTGAGTGTTGCTTGTCGAAAGAATCCACAGCTTCCAAGTACACAACTAACTACTCATTTTCATAACTGAAAATTGACCAATTAAGTAGAACTAGTCACCACGGAAGCTGCGAAAGAGTTTATAGGACGATTGAAGAGGGGACCGTTTAGAAGGTATAAATGAGGCCCCCCGCAACAATGCATCGAAGGAGGAAGCGTCTAATACAACAGTGAATCAAGAATGCAGACTGCCTGAAAGAAAGTACCTCCACTCTCCCGCAATGCGCTGACCTACTTGCACGAGCCACCAGAGCACAACATCGCACTGTTGCAATTACCAACCCTCACACCCTCAAGGCCCGAAAGAGGCACTTCTCCGGAAAAGGTCACAGCTGAAAGTTGAGCCATCACACGATGTGACAATCTCTTTAATCCACCCACAGGTCCATTACCGCGTGCACCAAACTAGCCCAAATGCACATCGCGAGCACTCAGTTACTTTCCACATTAATGCTTCCCATAAATCTCACGGTCACTAGGACAATAGCAAACCACGCCGCCCACGAATGCAGTTCCATCCGCACCACGAAAAAGGCAACTCAAGGCTTCTTTCCATCTCAGCATCCAAAGCCCGCCTTCTCAATTGACATGACCCTGTCCAACAATCTCCTTCAACCCTCGCCTTAACTCCCTCACACAAACCCACATAAATCTCCTCTCCAGACACCACTACTCGGAGATATACACCTCACTCCAATCACCACAAAACCGACGAAAAGATCAACCCAACATGGAGTGATTGCACAATGACACAAAGAAACAAACACCCAACCGAGCTGAACAGCGCTGAACATCCAACAAGCCAAACGTGACCTCAACGAGACAGGGATTCCAAGGCTCTCAGGAGCGATAACAACTTGGCACCGATCCGACCCAATGGCCCATAGTCTCAACCTCCATCCCCACCATCTCTATCTCCATCTCCACCATCTCCATCTCCACAACTCCTCTAGATCCTCCTCCTCTTCCTCGCTCGCTCGTAAAAGCTAATGGTACCCACAATGCTGCACTAGATTGAGGGCATGTAACACACTCGATTCTCACGAATCCTACACTCTCCGCTGTTTCCTTTCAATTCAATTCTTCCACAGGGGCAGGTGGGTACATCCCTCCCTCCCGGCTGATCTCAGAAACAAACAACCCACAAACACCCACCACCCGCAGCCTAAAATAACTCTCAGGATCACCCAGGCAGACAGGGTCACTGTCTGCTCCTCTGCTACTGCTGCTAACTTACAACTACTACTACTATAAATATTGTATTGTAATTGTAGCCTTCAAAATTGTAGGTCAGTCCTGCCGCGACACACAACACTCCTTCCCCCCTCCCTCGCTAAGCAGGCGCCGGCGGGAGCCAGTTCAGTCGACAGGGCTCTGATCTTCTGACTCTACTGACTAACTGACTGCGCATTGGATGAATTAATAAATGAATGAATGGATTAATTAATGGAATGGTGTTCCTGGAATGAGGCCCGTTTGTACATTCATTTGATTGATTTCTGTTCATCTCTTTGCAATCCCAGAATGGCAACCTCTGTGCCTCCACTGGAGTGGCTTTTGTGGGGGTTTGTGATGAGAGGGTTTGACCCGGTTTCGACGTTGGTGGTGTGCAGTCACCGGCGTCGTAGGCCAAATGACGGGCTCTAAGATTAGTGGGCTCTTAATTAGTCGCATCAAATGGGCGTGATTCCAGGCTCGATTCACATTGCACTCACTCCACAAGGGATAATTTATTTGCCTTTTTTTCTCGATTGGGTGTCATCATCTTCTTCTCCGTCTGCATGCCATTCATTTTTACTTCTCGTGGAAGTGGAGGTGGAGGTCGGAGTTAGATTTTTTTTAAAAAGAGAAATTAATGAAGAAAAGTGAAGATTAAGAAGGAAATCGAAGGGAGAAAAATAATAATATTAATAATAATAAACGATGATTACCGATGCAGCCGAATTTTGAATGGAATTGTACCTCGAATTTAATTTGAATTTTCTAATTTAAGAAACAGACAAAAACATGAAGAACCGACATGGATGTTTCCATGTACTGTTGTGTGTTTCTTCGTCAAGAAAGGTCCAGATTTGACAATTGGAAAAATCAAATTGGAAACCAACTGATTTGATGCAATTATTTGTCGCTCTTAAAGTTCTGTTTGACTCTATTTTTGAAGTGGATTTTCTCCTCGTAAAGATTTTGTGCTTTCATAGCATTGTTTTGTAAAAGCAAATCAGCGTAAGATATTCCTTGTCCAACTGGCTTTTTTTCATGTGTAAATGACACAGTCTCCACAAAAAGTACAATGCAAACATTTGTTTCGTTGCCACAAGTTGGGACAAAAAAAAACATAAATATATGAATTCTATTAACATGAAATTTCTGGACGGAGATACTTTTAGAGATCATTTTTTAAGGTTGAGGAATTACCCCTCTTGTGAAAATGTTGTGCAATGCAAGTATTGGAATAAGAACAGGATAACAATATATTATTTTATTATTATTATTGTCTAAAGGATATAATTATTAGACATATTCCATGTTTGTATTGATGATTCACAAAATATTATTTTATTTCTGTGTATCCCAAATTACTTTTCATAATTTTTCTCATCTTCTCAGTACATTTATTATCAGTAATTATATGATGCATATCAATTATAGATTCATAAGTATGTTTAAAAACGATTGCACATTAAAACCATATTCATACAATTGTTTTTTATACTATTTTGAATAATTTTGTATAATTATTAATTTTCCCACAACATGCTCAAATATTAACAGAAAAAGATTGTGGAGGTTTTTAAAACAATACTTTGGTTCAACTCAAGTTTTGACCTTGAATTCTCAAATGGTACCAATTTTTGTGACACTCATCATATCCATGTTATAAAACTCTCATGTACACTCAAATTCTTTCTATTTGATGTTTCTTCCTCAAAATATGCATCAAGGCCTTATGAATAGGCATGATTGCCTAATTAAAAAAGGCCAATATTTTTAGTGAGTGAAACCAAAACATTACAAAAAAGAAAAAGAAAAAAGAAAAAAGAAACCCCAACGAAGCAATACATTTTTAAATTAAAATTTATGGGTTTTTCTCTCAAAATTTAAGTAGAAAAAGCTATTGAACAAAGTCACCACTTTTGATCCCCTCATTCATCCACATACACATTCATCCACACATCTCCGTCCAGCTTTTTAAAAGGAACCAAAGTGGGTAGGACTTTACTATTCATTGTACATGCCATTAGAACATGCTCACAATTAGGGCTATCACAATGCTGGGGAAATAAATAATTTTAAAATTTTAAAAAAGGAGAAATAATTAACGCTGGTTTGAAATGCTCAATGAATTAATGGGGAAGGCAGTGGAGGGCCAATCCAGGTTGATAATAAATAAATAGGCTTTTGGGGCTGGGAATTATGGAGGCAATAAGAGAGTGGAGCATTAAGCATAATATCTACAAATGACAGCACTAGTGCTCTGAACCCTTAATTTACTTTTTATATTATTTTTTAATTTTTTATATGGTCTAGAGATGTGCCCATGTGTATGTGTGGCCAGATTGTGTGCTTATTTCATTACATGGCCCACACATGCTTTGGATGAAACTTTGTCACCCTTTATAGGTTTTAGAAATGCGACAAGTATAATTTCTTGCAATTACAGCATTTTCTTTTTGTTTTTTTCTGTTTCGTAATCAAAATAGGTTAGATTGTCATTGTATTTATACGTATATATACATACATGTATCCATACATGAAATAAAAGCCTTGTTTGATGTGTAACCTGGTTTATAAAGTACCACCCTCACATTAAAACTAAATGTGCATTATACAATTACATTCAAGCAAATCATAGATCAATTTAGGTTTTTTCTTTTAGCTGAATATGTTGGACAAGTATCAAAATACATATGTATTAAATAAAAATATAGTTCTGCATTTTTTTAACTTCTGAAACCTAAAAAATACGTGTCAAAAATAATTCAACTTAATTTATCACTTTGTTTGATATGTTTATAAATTAAACATATTAAAAATTAATGTAAACATATTAAATACACTAAATACTAAATTTAGTATGTAAATTTGTTTAATATGTTTATACGTTTTATTTATCTATTTATTTATTTATTTAATATGTTTTCATATTAAGCATATTAAACATTAATTTATCATTATGCATGAATATTGATTGAATGAAAATGTGTTGTTATTTACCAATTTAAATTTTACCACAAATAAATTCTAAGGTCTTAATAGTGTTTCTGACAGAAAAAAATTATTTATGTGTAATATTTGTTGTATAATAGTTATTTTTTGATAACTTTCCTTATAAATACATATATATATATATATATATATTACAAATGTATACACATAATCTGTCCATATTAAACTCGTTTCATATCAATTATTCTATTCTGAATAACAATTGTACAAGTATACAACCAAACCGATATTAAAAGTTACCTCTACCTCCATTGAAACAAGCTTTACCAACATTAATACCACTCTTGTACGACTTTCTTGAAAATCACATTTACCATTCCAAGTGAGATAGACTTTTTTTGAAATGTGTTTATAAATTTAAAATTTTGGATTTGTAAAATGATCGTTTAAATACTGTAATGTACCTTTAATAATCTTTAAATTTTATTAATATAAATCTCCTTGACTTGTACAATCGCATTCCCTAAATTATACAGTAAAGCCCTTCTTGCCTTAGCATTTCCTTAATTGAAGCTACACGATCCAAAACAAAGTAGATTTGAAAGGAAATCATGGAAGGTACGGTGCTACCACTCTATATTACAATTCTAATACACTTTCATGACTCTTTGGTGATATCATATTGTACATAAGTATTTAAGAATTTCGTTAAAAATTCAAATAACAGTCTAATAACAAAAGTAATTATGTTCAGTATTCTAAATAAAATTTTGTAAACGTTCTCTATCTTCTTTTCACACAACCATCTTCTTAATGAAAGTGTTGAAGTCAAATAATCAAACACTGTTCAATTTTTCACATCTCATTGTTCAACCTAATAAAATGATATTTATTACTTGTCAATCTTTATTCCATGACTTTAGTCTAAGGTCGTTATTAAATAGAAGTTTTGCAACAGTTATTTATAAAAGAATAAATTTGACATTTATTACAATAATTTAGTATATTTATTTTGTTTATTTACATTTTACATCCACTCCTATAAAAAGAAAAGTCAAATCTCAAGTGGTGTTGCATTGGTTTTCTTTTTGTGCATCTTCTACAATGCACTTGTGCTGATTTTTTTTGAAAATTCCATTATAACATTAGAAAGACAAGTATAAAAGAATTACTATCTTAAGTTTACACACTTAATTTTTTGATTTATATTATGTTATTATTATAATACATAATAAAATATTATTTAAGATAATCAAATTTAACCAATTTAAAAACAGATTTTACTACTTTCAATAAAGATCTTTTTAACATTCTACATTATTCTAGATCAAATAATACATTTCATGATATCGTTATATCATCGAATTTATTATTTTTAGGTAAAACAATATTGATACATTTATAAACACTTGTATTATTATTGTTATTATTATTATTAATGGATTTCTTCCATATATCTTGATCTAAAAATTAAATTATATATATTATAATATAAATAAATAAATAAATAAATAAATAATATATTTTCTGCTTTATATATATATATATATATATATATATATATATTCTAAGCTAAAATTCCTATTTAAAAATTTACAATAATTTTTAGCTCACTAACACTTGAAATTCTACAACTTTCTTTTGTCTTTTATTTTATTTTATAACATTATGTTTTATATTTTTTATATTTTTATATTTTTTTCTTTTAGAATTTTGTTTATTTTGATAAAATTTTTAAATGACAAGGTTTGGGATTTTAGATCAAACTACAAAGAAACAAGGGAACAAGGGCAACAGTTGGGAATAGGGAATGGGAATGGGGTTGAAAGGGTACAATGATAGTTTAAATACATGGATTGATTTAGTAAAAATTTGAGTTTATTTTAGTCTTATAAAAGTAATATGTAGAACAATTAGTAAATTCATATTTTCTTATAAATTCAAGTTGATTGTAATATTTTTGTATTCAGTTATATATTTATAAAAATTTGATGTCAAAACCTAAATTCTTTAACTGCTACATATAATTGCAGTTAATTTATTAGCACAAAGAGATTTTGCAAACGTAAATTTAACATTATTTTATTGGAAAGCAAGATAGTGTCGAAGAAGCTTTAAATTACTTTAATTTTGACACTAGAACTGTTTAGAATG